CTGAAGAGACGTCAGAAGAGACCTCAGAAGAGACCTCAGAAGAGACCTCAGAAGAGACCTCAGAAGAGATCTCAGAAGAGACCTCAGAAGAGACATCTGAGGAGACATCTGAAGAGACCTCAGAAGAGACCTCAGAAGAGACGTCAGAAGAGATCTCAGAAGAGACGTCAGAAGAGACGTCAGAAGAGACCTCAGAAGAGACCTCAGAAGAGACCTCAGAAGAGACCTCAGAAGAGACCTCAGAAGAGACCTCAGAAGAGACCTCAGAAGAGACGTCAGAAGAATCATCAGAAGAATCATCAGAAGAATCATCAGAAGAATCATCTGAAGGATCCTCTGCTGAATCCTCTGAGGAATCCTCTGCTGAATCCTCTGCTGAATCCTCTGAAGAATCCTCTGAAGAATCCTCTGAAGAATCCTCTGAAGAATCCTCTGAAGAGTCCTCTGAAGAGTCCTCCGAGCCTTCCACTGAAACCACTTCAGAATCCCCAGACATTACGCTAACCTCGTCTACAGAAACCACCACTGTTACTGCGGACAGCACTACACTTGTCACCATCACAAGCTGTGAGGATAACAAGTGCCATGAAACCGAGGCTCCAACTGGTGTCACTATCGTCACCGAAACCATTTCCGGTGTCGTTACTTCTTACACCACGTACTGCCCATTGACTTACCTCACCACCAAGACTTACACTGAGAAGATCGTTTGTGTTACCGTCCCATGTGAGGTTTGTGAAGAGGGTGCCACTACCATCACCAAGACCATCGTATGTGAGGATGAGTGTTACGATGTTATTGTCACTCAGACAAAGACCATTGTTACTGCTACTGGTGGCTCAGTCATCACTACTGGTATTGCTAAGACGTACGGTACTGGTGCCGAGGCCACTGTTACAACTGTGACTGTTGTTAGCACTGTTGGTGGTTCACCTCTGACCACTGTTGCCGTTGAAAGCTACGGTGTTGCTGTTGACGAGGTTGTTATCACCAAGTCCGAGACTGCTGAGGTTGTTGTCGGTGGTAGTACTACTTACTCAGTTTCCGAGGTTGTCGAGACCACTAAGGTCACTAACACCGTCACTTTCGAGGCTGCTTCTTCCACTGAATCTGGATCTTCTGGTTCCTCTGGTGAAGCTGGATCATCAGGTTCCTCAGGCGAATCTGGATCATCGGGTTCCTCTGGTGAAGCTGGAACCTCTGGCGAATCTGGATCATCTGGAACCTCTGGCGAATCTGGTGAATCTGGAACCTCTGGCGAATCTGGATCATCGGGTTCCTCTGGTGAAGCTGGAACCTCTGGCGAATCTGGTGAATCTGGAACCTCTGGCCAATCTGGATCATCGGGTTCCTCTGGTGAAGCTGGAACCTCTGGCGAATCTGGTGAACCTGGAACCTCTGGCGAATCTGGTGAACCTGGAACCTCTGGCGAATCTGGTTCCTCTGGAACCTCTGGCGAATCTGGTGAATCTGGAACCTCTGGCGAATCTGGATCATCGGGTTCCTCTGGTGAAGCTGGAACCTCTGGCGAATCTGGTGAATCTGGAACCTCTGGCGAATCTGGTTCCTCTGGCGAATCTGGATCATCGGGTTCCTCTGGTTCCTCTGGTTCCTCTGGTTCCTCTAGTGAAGCTGGTTCCTCCGGCTCTTCCACCACCGCGGATATCTCTGCTTATGAAGGTGCAGCATCTAAGAAGTCGGTGATTTCAGCTCTTTCTGCCCTTATTTTCGCTGTTGCTTTGATTTGATTTCAGATCGCTTGCAACACGCTCTTTCACTTCGAATTGGATTCTTTTGTAACGCTTTTTGATTTCGAAATTTGTTCAAGTTTCCAGCGTATTTCCATTCCATTGGGGCTCATTATTTTATTTCTTCTCTATAGGTGGTCTTGAGTCCCAGGATCTGCGTTCCGATACATTGTTTTGTGTTGTTGTACCTATAATATATCTTTTACTTCTAAATCAAATGTATTTCAAAACACCATTGAGTTCCAGACGATAGAAGGCCATACTCATGAATCAAACATATGTGACTCAAAGACGTGGAACAGAGGTCGTCGGTCCATGTTTAACAGACTGTAAAATCCACAAGATCAACAAACATTGTACAGAGTTGAATGTATAACACCTAACCCATTTTAGAAGAGTACAATGTTCCTTGAAGAGGGTAATTAGTCAAGTGTGAGCACCACCGCTGTTGCCATGCACCACACATATTACACTTGTAGCTCAGAATATTAGATTAGAATGATACTTATAAAAATAATAACCCCCCCCCTTCAAATGTTCCCAAATTATACCACAATGTAGCTCTTATCCAAATTAAGAGATATATAAAGTATGATCATGTTATCTTCAATATTTTCTGAGATTTAACCATTCATAGTTTGTATGGTATAATCAAGACAAACACATACATTTGCTTATATCTCAGCAACAAAACAAAAATTGGGAAAACTGGCGACGAAAATACAATAACAGATCTATATTATCATAAACACTAACTTTGAGCTTGATCGGATTAATGGCCCTTTTAACATATATCACAACGTGTTGCATTATATCTCTCTGGTTTTTCGTTGCCCCAGCAATCGTAAAAATGTTAGGATGATTTCAATTTTCGCTGCATTGTTTACATTTGGAATTCTTATCAGACACAAAATGACACAAAGCCAATACAGCTTTATACACAGAATTAAGAATATCACAGAAGAATGTCCAAGAACAAAAGATCAAGCAAGTACGGAAGAATGATCTGGTCACAACTAAAGAAACTCCAGAGAGCTCTCATTGGAACCTTCTAACGGCGTCCTGAACCTGAAGAGGAAACAGCAGCGACTAATCCAGAACCACAGCGGCAACTTGAGACGAATGAAGGTACGATACAACAAGCATACCCAATAATCATTGAGACAGACTAACTGAACGGTTATGAGAACAAGATTCGGAACCAAGAAACCTCCAAGTTCTGTTACGGAATGTCCATATAGAGATCACAGCCTTACCACAACAGCCGTTATTACCTGATAATGGAACTATGGCTGATAGAATAAGAGGTAGATGGAGAAATGCAGCACTGGTAACAGATAGAGCATTAGAAGAAATTAGATGACATGGTGTTTTTGATCATGATCCAGCTCTGAACACATCATTGAGGATGACACCAACGGTTTTAATGAGAATGATGATCCAGTTTATGAACAACAACAGTAGCGGAGACCACAGAGGCTACAGAACTCAGTATATAATCCATGTGGTCATGAATAATGTTGTAATTATTGTCATGCTCTCCCTATCGATACTGAATTACCATCTGGTTTTTGTGACAGGAGCAAAGTCTTACTCGGTGAGATATTCAAACCACATCCACAGTACTTAAAGGATATCTTATTGGAACTAATCACGTCCAAACATTCTCGAACAATCATTCCAATTCTTTCGCTATCATCCTTGGGCTCTAACCTTACTGGCGATTCGAGAGGTGGGACTTCTTCAATGGCTATCAACGGCCGTTTATTCCACAGAGTTGATGGTATGATAGCACAAGAAAATGGCCAAGAGATGTTGGAAGAAATTTATATACTAAATTCAGATTTGGCTACAAACCGTCACGTTGAATTGCTTAGAGGTGCTCTTCAAAATGATAAAGAATATAATAAACTTGAGGACCACATTAGCAAAATTAACGAATTTCTATCTCAAATAATCGTTATACACAGCTGTTATATACCGCTGGAGAAATTGTTCAACAGGAAATTACAGAGATGGGAATAACAAGAGGAGCATATCGTTGGATTTGCCAATATTGAACCAAGAGCATCAGCAAATTCAGAAGATCGTACTCCTCTATTACCAGAGGTTAAAGAGTTTGCCTTGGTGCGCGCAGAAGCAATAACAGCAGAACAGACTTCAACTTCAGTGTAAAGGAAAGATCCACAGGTGGCTCCACTCTTATCAATACTATGTCTAAGAGTGTTTTTTTATCTTTGAGATGTGTTGTTCTAATAACTGAAGGGTGAGCCAGATCTTTTCCATACCTAACGGGACTCAGATTAGTATCATTCTAACATATCCACCCCATACACACACTTGCGACTACATATACGAAATCTTTCACCACAGTTTTAGGAAAACTTATTTAAGCGTAGATTTCGTTAGTTTCCAAATCATCCTATCAACGAAGGGACCAGACATTAAAGTCAATACCCGACGGGCTGCGCAGCGCAAGTTGATCTCGAAGGGCCGAATCGCGCTCACCGTACCGAAGCACTATAGATCAACTTGTTACCTAATATATTACATAAGCCAGAATTAAGATTATGTAATCAAACGCCGAGAAAAAAATAGTACGCTTCGTCCAATCACCGGCAAATAAAAGTTTTACTCGAAATATATAAAGAACATACAACATACTTCGTCAAGAGAGTGTGTAGTTGAGGAGTTTTTTCAGCAATGTTTGCGATTAAGTCATTTGTGAGCCCATCTTCTTCGAAATCATGGAGTGTGCAATCCCGCTGTTTATCACTTTTGTCCAACTTGAAACCTTCCAACAACTCTACTAGAAATCACAAGAGAGTTGGTCGTGGTCCGTCATCAGGTTATGGTAAGACCTCTGGACGTGGTCAAAAGGGACAGAAGGCTCGTGGAACTGTGAAGCCATGGTTTGAAGGTGGTCAGACTCCAATCACCAAACTTTTCCCTAAGATTGGATTCAAGAGGGTCAATGCTCCAGAACTTGCGGTGCTGAACTTGGAAAGAGTTATGAGATTCCACCGTGACGGTAGATTGGTGTTGAAGGAGGGTGAAGTTTTGAACATGAGAAAGATGAAGCAGCTGGGATTAATCACCGGTACTCTGAGAGACGGTGTTAAAGTGCTTGCAAGCGGAAAGGAGAAGTTCAACTTGCCTCTCAGAATTGAAGCCACTAGAGCGTCCACCGAGGCAATCAGGACAATTGAAAGAGCTGGTGGGGAATTCACAGCGAGATATTTCACCAAACTTTCCTTAAAAGCCCACCTCTACCCTGAATATTTCTTCTTCAAGAGAGGATATATCCCATTGAGCGCCAGACCTACAAAGAAAAGAGACGTCCACTATTACAGCAGAGTGGACAAGAGAGGTTACTTGGTCAAGGAGAACCACCACTTGTACCAGGCCATCCAAAACGCTAAGACTTCAAAGCCGAAGAAGACAAATGTTACAACAGAAGGAATGGAAACCCTGGGCTCTACTGTAAATGACAGTGCATCTGGGTTCCAAACTTCAGGTGTAATGAAACTTTCGGACTTGAACTTGTAAATATTATATACCGTGTAAATAAACCAACGATTCTCCCTTGCCATCTGAACGTAGGTACTGAGTGGTTTCACGGTACAGTGTTTAAGCGATCTCCATTCTTCTCTATACAGAATATGCGATGTGCATTCTTGGTAGCGAAGATCGTGTGCTCCTGCCTAGAAACCGTAGATCGTTCCTTCTCCGCCCAGGGAAAGGATCTCCCGCCAGCCTAGCACGGAGGAACTCCCGCCCAAGCTGAAAGACCCCTCTGCCTAGAGCCCAAAAGGGAAAGTGTAAACAAACCTTTCACAGGGCGCAGAGCGAGAAAAACACAAAAACAAAACACAAAAAGCACAAAAACAGTACACAAAAAGTGCCCTGTTTTTTTCTTCTTTCTTCCTCTTTGAAATGTAAACAAACATTTAAACCAAACATTCCACTCTGGCGAAACAAAATAATCCCATCTGCTTCATTGGAGAATACTTCGTATAGTGCTATTATATCATCTCCAGTTAGACCGCTCTGTTTAGTGATCTGTTTTTCTCGTCGTTCTTTTCATTTTGTTGGCTTCATAGAGGTTGGCGGTTAATTTTGGAAGAACACCATAACAACAACTTGAACTACAACTTGATCAAGTCGTTGACAACTGGAAACCTCTCTTCACAGAAGCTCGAGTGTGGGCTCCCCTAAGTGTACTATCTGAGGCTCATCAGAACTTCTGTCTTCTCAATTAGGCTGTGATTTAAGCTTGGTACTGTCGTCAACACTGAATCGATCATTCCATGTCCACTGACACTACAAGACCTCGTCGTCAGAGCTTCCAACACAAGGCTCGGTCTAAGGAGGTGAGATTTGGATCTTATATTCTAGGCTCAACTTTAGGTGAAGGAGAGTTTGGTAAAGTTAAACTGTGTTGGAGGAAGGACGGGAAACAGCCATCACAAGTAGCCATCAAATTCATTCGCCGTGAGTCGATTCCAAGGGGCTCTGAAAGGGAATCGAAAGTACACAGAGAGATTAATGCATTGAAAAGATTGACACATCCAAACATCATTAGATTGGAAGAGGTGTTACAGAATGACAAGTACATCGGTATCGTACTGGAATACGCGTCGGGTGGTGAATTGTTCGACTACATCTTACAACACAGATATTTAAAGGACTCACTAGCGTGTAGATTGTTTGCACAGTTGGTGAGCGGTGTTTATTATATGCACTCTAAAGGGATTGTGCATAGAGATTTGAAGCTGGAGAACTTGTTGTTGGATAAACATAAAAATATCGTCATCACAGATTTTGGGTTTGTCAACTCGTTCACTTCAGAATCTGAACTGATGAAAACATCATGCGGCTCTCCATGCTATGCTGCGCCCGAATTGGTGATATCTAATGAACCGTATGAGGCGAGAAAAGTTGATATTTGGTCCTGTGGAGTAATTTTATATGCAATGCTTGCTGGATATTTACCGTTTGATGATGATCCGCAAAACCCAGATGGCGATAACATTGCAAGATTGTACCAATACATCACAACAACTCCATTGACATTTCCAGAGTACGTGGAACCAATGCCCAGGGACTTGCTAAGAAGAATATTAGTTTCTAATCCGAAAAAAAGACTGAACTTGAAAGAGATTCGAAGTCATTCTTGGTTGGTTTCACATGCACCATTCTTATCAGTGACACCAGCTGAGTGGGATGAGAACATCAGAACTGCCAATAAGGTAGAGTCTATGGCCTTCGCACAACAACGTTTTAAGGACAAGTCTACATCGAAAAACGATTATAGAAGATACTCTCTTATTGAAAGCGTCCCATCTCTTCATTCCCATAATAGCAACAGTGGAACTAACCAACAGATGTTATATTCGAACCCATTACCCCCGCAAACGTCCTCAAGTCATGCAATGGCTATACCGTCTTCTGCTTCGTCAACATCTATTCAAGAACAGCTGAAGATTGGGACTCCGAAAGGTCATACAAGAACTAATTCAGTACAGTCATATACATCTGCGTCGTTGGCATTGCAGGCAGTTGTCGATGCAGATGAGATAAGAAACCACTCTTCATCTCCGCCATTACCGTCCTCTTCTTCAGCATACGGATTGGACAGCTTTGTGCGTCATAATAGCGATACAAAGATCAAAGGTAATATTCCAAGGTCAACGACACATACAGGTATAGCAAATTTGTCCAACTTTTCTAGGGAACAACAACAGGGAATTTCTACCATTGAAGAATCCCCAGCAAAGACTGGGAAACATGTACAAGGTTCAGATGTACACACAGATTTCATCGTACCAAAGATACCAATGAATTCGAATAACTATCATCAAGCCATTGGTACACAGAAGCTACCAGGTCCAAAAGGAGGCAGAAGACCAAGACCAACTTCGTATCATCCAGGTTACTATTCCACTGGGATGTCACAAGATCAACCCGATTACCGAAACTCTACACAAATGGCTAACCAAGTTTCCACAACTCAATTTGGAAGATCCGAATCCACGAATTCTGTGGCATCATTGGCAAATCAAAAGATATCTGCTCCGTCTGTTGAATTGGTACAAGCTGAAGGTGACATTACCAGTCCAAAATCTCCCCTGATGAGTGCAAAGACATTCAACGGGATTGAAACTTCAGAGAATCACGAGAATTTCTGTGTTGATGCTATAGAGAAATCACAGGCAGACTTATCATCTTCGTCAATATCTCAAAAGAAGCAGAATAGATATTCAGCCGTGATCGCTGCAGAAGTGTTGATGGAGAAACTGTTCAATACAGGTGATATTCATACTGCCAATGATGGTGATCTATCCAAATTGGATTCACACATATCTAATGGGACCAAGTCCAATATCTCTACAACTACCAAGGATACATCTGTTACTGGGTCCCCTGATACCGAGAACCAGCAACTGAGCAGGCCTCCCGCAAAGACCAACTCCAACAGTAGAAACAAAAGATTTTCCTTTTTGGGATTTTACTCTGCACAACCGGATTCCAGATCTTCCATCTCTGTTGATTCCTCTAATCAGAAAAGAACCAATAAAAAGAAAGTATTGGAGCCTTCCAACGGGGCAAACATCAACAATCCAAAGAATGAAGCTGCAATTCAATACACTAGTTTTGAACAGAGGAAGGAACCTTCAACTGCTAGGAAAGTTATGGATTTTTTCAAAAGAAGAAGCTTACGGATGTGATACCATTGTTTATGTTTTGGTGCGTGATGATGAACAACATTGTTTTATTTGGATTTTCTGTTTCCTTTTTATAATGATTTTACACAACTATGTCATAATGTTTTGTTTTTTTTTATATCTTTCTCTTTCCATTTTTAAATCTAATTGATGAAATAATATTGTTTATAACCAACAACTTTGTAATATGTGTATACATTTCATATCAATTAATTGATTTATAAATAAATAGATAAAGAAAAAAAGAGATAAATAAATAAGGATAGAATTTTTAATCTTTGGAATAAATAAGTGTCCAGCCATTATTGGGATATTGGAAGGACAGGACCAAAAGGAAAAGACAAACAACAGCAGCATTTTAATCCTTCCACCAACTGGTCTTCTCCAGCTTCCAGATACCGTTGGTCTTGAATGCCTGTGGAGCAACTGCTTCATCACTCTGCGCTCTGAATTTACCAGTCAATCTGAAGTCACGTTCAATGAGTTGTTTTTCAAACTGATCCAAGTTATAGCGAACCCTCTTGTTATCGTTGGTCAGGTATCGTGAGACAGACACATAAGAACCACCTGCGGTCAAGAAAGTCAAGATAATGCCCCATGGCAGCAAACCCTCGAATGGAATCATCTCTTGGTCTACTTCGATTACGTCGTTGTTACTCTGAGATGTGTATTTCAAAGGGGAGGAAGTGCGTGGTTTGAAAGGGGATTTTACTGTTTTTTTTCCCTCCCCCCTACGCTCCAAATTTCCTCCGGTGTTGTCGATGGAGACAAGATCCGAGGGCACAGTGAAAGTTTTACGAGGGTGTGGCTATACCAATATTGAGTGTGAAAGGTCTACGTGCTCCGACCAAATATCAACAATAAGATACAGAAGACCGGGAAATTCCGGGGCATACAGTTATTGTCTTACGCGGATTTTCCCACCATGAAGATCCATTTCATTGGTGATATCTACGCTATTACCAGATAGAAAAGTTACAACGGTACAGTTCACACATTCAATCGTACAAAATAGGTCCCTTTTCCATATTTTTTTTTAAGAAGAACTATACATATATTCTTTTTGTAGATTGGTGAAAAAAAGATATACATAGAATGATGATGATCGGACCGGCAGTTGGATATCTTTTTTCAAGTAGATATAATACCCAGGTCAAGAGACAACGGGGGAGCCTTTACTCGCCTCTCTCTATCAATGACGTTTAAGCCAAAGATGGGAAGTTTTCCTCGGTCAAGCTTGGACCAGTAGCGTGGGAAGCCTTTGGAGCTCTTGGGGTTCTAGCAGCGTTGTTCTTACCACCACGGGAGCCTCTGGCGTTACCACGAGAGGAGCCACGGCCACCACGGCCACCACGGAAGGAGGACTCGTGTTGAGCTGGAGCCTCATCGGCAAAGGTTGCAGAGAAGTCCAAGTATTGCTTAGTCTTGAGGGTCTTAGACTTCTCCTTCTTGGACTTGGTCTGTGGGATGAACTCCTCTTCGACCTTGACGATCACAGCAGCCTCATCGACAGCCTCAACCTTTCTGGCCTCACGTTGAGAGGAGGTGTTTGAAGCCTCAAGCTCCTTGAAGTAGTCCTCAAGGGACTTCTTAGCAACCTTCTCCTCCTTCAACTCATCTTGGGCATCCTCAGCACCTTCAACCTCAGCCTCGAGCTCACCTTCAGCATCGGCAGTCCAGCCAGCTTGCTTGACCTTCTTGTCAGAGTCGGTCTTACCGGATCTGGAGTGACGGTCAAACTTGGACTTGTTGTTGGACTTGGCGCCCTTGGCCTTTGACTCATCAACAGATCTGGACTTGTTGGCAGATCTACCAGCGTTCTTGTCCTTGAAAGCAGCATCGTTACCGGTTGGTTGTGGACGGTTCTTTCTGGCCTTGTCCTTGTTGGCAGATGGTGGTGGAACATCAGCCTTCTTGGAGGAGGTGTTCTTCTTGACAATCTCTCTTGGGACGGAGTTAACCTCGTTCACGTCCTCAACGTCATTGCCCAAAAGGTCAAATGGGTTCTGTAGAGTTGTTAGTACACGAACGCTTACTGTATAACTCGGAGTTGGGCAACAAACATCGGAGGGGGGGAGGCAAGCAATCTTGTGAGGGTATATACGCGCACCACTGTCTTGTGACTAATGAGCTTTTCTCTTCCCACAGTAACGTACATCTGCCAGGATCAACAAGACGTTGAAATTCTGTTCGTTGTAGAAAACACACGCAGAGGTTACAGCCAATCTTTTAAAACCTCGGCGGGACACCATGATTATCACCACTTCATACAAATTAGCGTGTTTTAACCTCAAATACAGACAGACAGACAGACAGACAGACAGACAGACAGACAGACAGACAGACACAGGGAAAAAAAGCCACAGTACAGTTACACCACGAAGAGTCACTTTCAAAACCATGCGATACTCCCAGACACCAAATTCTTCACTATCAACTTACGCTCATCTTGTATTGGGGGGAAAGATATATAGGTGAATACTAAGTCAGAGAGAACTTATAGAGAAGAGAGAAAAGGCCTTGAGATTTCGTTGAACTTTCCACTTTTTTTTTCAGCGTCGGCGTCGAAAAATTTCAACTTCCGCTTCGAGTAAATCTCAGCATGCAACCTCTGTAGGAACTTCGCCGTCCAGCGTAAATATCAGCACGCTGAAAAAAGAAGATCTTCGCGAATTTTAGTTGTTGCTGTGGTTGCTTTTAAACTCTAAACAGCGTTATGAACCCCGTCGTCTGTTTGCAGGATTTATTATGATGTCTTTTTGGTAGCTTCAACACTTTCTTCAATGATAATAATGGTGATTGATATATATATACTGGAAAGAAAAGAAGAGAGAGGGACTAGGAGACAATCATCTCTCTTCGTTAATGTACACGTCGCCAACGCGGCCGAAGAAGGCCTTCAACGCTGTTCTCAGCTCTGTAGGAACGCTCTTGTCCAAGATGTTCAACATCAAGTCGTAAACGTGTGGACAGTTCCTTATAAAGTCCTTCTCCTCCAATTCACAATACCCTTGGAGGATTTCAACAACGACTGGTCTCCATGTGGCCACGTTTCTCTGCTGCTTGTTATCATCGAGCTGTGTGTATCTCTCAATAATGGAGACGCACATGGGGATTAGGCTTGCGCTTATGCCATCCTTTTGCTTCTGTGAAATCTTCCCTGCATCGCTGTACACTTTAAAGGTGACACCGATGTACACCGCAGCTGAAGAGGATTCCTGTTTTAGGAGATTTGGCAATCTATCAATAACACCGGACTTCCACAATCTCACTCTAAGGTTGTAATCGTCGTTGAACTTTCTCGAGAATCTGAACGATCTCTCCAAGAGACTCGTAAGTCTCATCAAATTATTGTACGGAACCAAGTCATAAAATTGCTCATCTTCGAATAGTTCGCTAACAGTCTCAATCATTAAAAGTTGCAAGATACACTTGATAACGATCGAATTCTTGGTCCTTGATTTGGAACGCAACTCGCCAGAACCCTTGGCCTTCAAAACATTCCCGTTAGACTGTCCGTTGGACAATGTGCTACCAACATCAACACTCTCCGACTCGTTGAGGGCAACGCTAGATGGGGACTCTGCTATAGAACTCTCAGCTCTTAAGGGATCGGCGTCGAACAATTCATTAACAGTGGTCAACTCAAATAGTTTCTCAAACGCATCGGTAACTTTATCCCAATGGTCTTGGGTGAACTTGTCCATGTTTTGAGTAATTAACTGTTGGAAACATGATCTTCCAATTCTGGCTATGGTGTCGTTCTCTTGGCATATACAAGAGATCAATAAACCAAGGTACCCATCCAACATTCTACTCAGAGTATCAAAGTAATGGGTGAATAGAGCAACCATGTTTCTCAAAGCCTGGATCAGAGTAGTTGATAACCAAACAGACATGTCATCGTGGCTGTTGAATTGGTTAATCTCCCAATGTTTCGAAAGAACTCCAAAGATTGGGAACAAAAGTTCAACACAGATCTTATCCCAAAACTCTGGACTGAACCTGTTTCCAAACTGCACCAAGATATCAAACATGTAGTTCAATGCCCTAGATCTGATTTCCAAATCCTCCGAGGTCATAATAACATCATTAAGACTTGAGAGTCCTGGATACCACAGATCCTTGAATAGATCCTTGTGATGCTTTAGAATAGGATCATCAGGCTGGGAATCCAGGGTAAGCTCTGCAACTCTAATGATTATCTTCTTCGTTCTGTTCAAACTCTGCAGTCCAACTTTCTGGAACTTGGAGTTCTTTGCAATTGTAGCTAAAACACCAACAAGTTCACCAAAAGTCTCCTCCTGTAATAAAACAGTCTCAGCATGGTCTCTGTAAACAGAATCGACAATCTCGTAGGTTTTACGAACAGAATTTTCATTGGTATCGTTCGCAGTATAATCTAAAGCAGTGAAAATAGTCTTCCAACCAGATTTGATCTTTGAACCCTTCAATTGGATCAAATTGCTCAAACAGTTTAAGATCATATCTGTCACCTCAAGGTCATTAGCGTGTTGTAGGATGTAGTTGAATGGCTTCAAGAAATCTTCTTGGAATTTAAAGCCCGCCAACTCTTCAATGTCCATGAAACGCATAGATAACTGTCTCAACGAATCCAACGCAAAGAAAATAACAGACAGGTTATGGTCTTTATCAATGATTTTCTTGAAAAATTCAGAAATGACATTCCAAATACTTGTGTACTCAACTCTGATTCTTCCCATATTATAGTGACAAACATCGATAACCTTTTGAAGTGAGAAAGTTCTTGGTGTAGTGCTGTCCGAGGAAGACTCAATCTCCTCGAAAGCAACTTCAGTAAGTGCTTTGATGAAATCCACGATTGCCGTACCGTTCAATGTTGAACTCTGAGTAAAAATCTTGTCAATGGCAATTGAAATTTCAGATGATGCCAATCTTAACCCGATTTCCGGATCCAAGCGTTGATCGTAGTGATCAATTTGTGCTTGTTCAATCGGCGTTGCTTTCTTACCTAGACCAAAGAAATAACCAGTGTTGTGACTTCTGACACTCTCTAATGAGGTTCTATGAACTCTAGCATTAGCAACATCAGGAACAACATCTGCTTGAATACCCTTAGCGATCAATTGTAATCTTTCGGTTTGCGACACAGTAGTCAAAATATCTCTCCACGAGCCCTTCATATGATTTCCAAACTGCTCACCACATTTCAAAAGTAACAGAATAACTTCAACGTTTTTGTTTTGCATTTCCTTGACATTGGTCAAGTTAGTGAACTGAACCAATGCACCAATGAATGAAGTTCTTGCATCTTCCAGATCAAATATAGAGGAGATGGAAATAGCCAATTTCAAACCTTCCAAACACGAGGCAACAGCGTCCTCATCATCCTCAGACTTCAATAAGCTTGTCAAAACTGCCAAGAAAGACATCCATAACGTATCAAAGATAGACTTAACATGCTCTATGTGGGAAGCAGAGTAGAAAACAGTCTTTCCAGAGCGTCCCAATGTCTTGAACAGTTTCTCTGTCTTATTGGAAATCTCTTTTGAGGCTTGTATATACGCTTCTCTGTTAACATCACGTCCACTAAATAGAGCAAATCCCTGCGGTTGAGCTGGAGCCAATTCACCAGACAACAATGCTGCATGTTGTTCCGACTGAAGTTTGATCTCATTTTTAGCAATCTCGTTGAAGATATCGGTCAAGAACTCATCTGGTAAGTTTTGTTCGTTGTCAATACCAGAGTTGTTCTTCAAGAAGTCTTCAACAGTCATTCTATTCTTAACATTTTTTGAATGCTGATCTGTGTTCAACATAATTACAGAGTAAGCCAAAACATAGGCGGTATCGGCATTTGCAAACACACCTGGGTTTCCTTCAACGTACCGTTCTGCAAATTTCAACATGTAACGATCAATCTTTTGTGCTTCACCTGGAAGTCTAAAAGCTTGGAGGAAACGTCTCATGGCATCCACAAACTTCAAATTGGTGAAATCCATCAATTCAACAAATGCATGCATGATGGCGATGTGTTCGTCGTCACCTTCACCCAAGTATTCACCAATAACCGACTTGTCCAATCCATGCTGGTTCAGCAAAAATTTAGCAATGACTTGGGGTTCTTTACTCTCAATAAAACCTTGCTTAATCAAATAATCGATACCTTTCTTTGCCTTGAAGTTAAACAATCTAATACCTTCTTGAAGAGCTGTTTTACGTTGCTTCAAATTCTCAAATTCCTGAGGGTCATCGATTTCATCAGTGGACAGAGTCAACTGTGGTAATGATCCAGAACCACCAGTGCTTGATCTTTTTCTGAAGTTAGATGCTGATGATGATCTCATTTCTGGGGCCAGACCCTTTTGTGCCCAAGAGTTCAATGATCTTAGAATACCCACAATACAATCCATCGAGGTAACCTTCAAAGCATACTCAACAGGGTAGGGTAGTGCGCTATCAGGGATGGAAATCTGGGTTGAAAGTTTGGAGATGGACAACATTGGCAATTGGGACAAGTTATACGTCGCGATTGGCTTTGTTGCATGCTCTTTGTACTCCGCCTTTTGCTTAGGTGTGACTTCAACACGGGTTAATGCAAGCTTGATAAGATAGTCAACCAGTCTTTCACAGATATTTGGCAGCGATGAGTCGCAATCATAGTTCAAATAGAATTCAATGAGAGCTCTTGGATCGTTACATAATCTTTGGACAACGACTAAGAAGTATCTCTTTTGATGAGATGTTGCAGTTTTTAGTTCCGCGATAGGGAAGTAAATTTCTGATAAAAACACAGGAATTTCACGTTTGAACTGATACCTCAAATTGGACATGATCAACCAAAAGATCTCCAAAGTGGTTTCAAAAACAGGAGAAATTGCCGAAGCTGCATTTCTAGAGATTGAAAGGCACAAGTATTGTCTAACAGCGTCGACGAATATAGTATCCTCCTTTGATGAAGGCGAGCGAATAACAACAGTAGTTGATAAAAAGACATCAATGTGTTCCTTAATGATTGAATGAATAATGTGCAAAGAAATCAATTTTGAACGAACTGCATGTGATCTCATATCCAATGAATCATTTTCCAAATTCTTTACAGAGAGTTTACACATAGCTCTAAAGATCAAGAATGCATCCTTAACAGCGAGCTCACTTTCGTCACCAATATCATTTGACTGATCCACTAAACGTTCATCTTCATCGTTCAAACTCTTTAAAGTTTCCAAATTCAAAGGTTCATCCTGTGTTGGTTCATTTGTAGATTGATCAACGTCTAAGGTGGATGGGCTCTTTGGTAGGGTCTTTGAGGTGAACTTTTCAACTTTTTCATAGACAAAATTCACAATCTGGGTTAGGGAAGCTTGTGCAACACCTTGGTTCATCGGTGATAAAGACAAGATAAAAATGTTATAGATCTGTCTCACTGCTTTAAGCAAGGTAGAGCCATGAGCCGGAAGGCTTTCGTTCAACACCGCTGCAACCAAAGCTCTAATCACTTGGATTTCAATCTGTTCACTGGAGCCTTCACCTTGGAAGGCAGCTGCAATCGTGTCCACAGCGGCATCAACGAGGTTAACCCTTGGAGGAGGTGTGATGTTTGACTGTTGTGGGATATCTGAATCATCAACCAACGCAGTGATACTCTTTGAAGGTGGCACCTGGATCTGTTCAAAGAGTTGGAAGGTGAAAACTTTTGAAAGACAATCCAACGCAATAACGACAATGTCCTGGTGCTTAGTTTCGATTGCAGTACGCAACGTCTCGAAAACAAGCGTGGAATCGAATCCGGATTGCAACTTCTCCAATGTCTTCTTGGAAGAGTTCAGCAGAATTGTGTTTTTCTTACTATCCTTGTGATCTGCAATGAGAGTGATTGCGCTCTTGACAAACGCCAAGTGTGAAGCATTACGGGACCCAACCGAAGATAAAGAGGCATTTGAAGTTGTTCTTAAGTGTTGGCGCTCCGGCGAAACCACAATCTTTGGCAGAGGCGTTGGCAGGTCGCTGTTCTGCTCAGCGTCCGCAACGTCCTCCTGGTCGTCTTCTTGAACATCCGCCTCTTGAACATCCTCCCCACCAGGGGCATTCCCAGCTTCAACAACCGGCGGCTCCTCACCGCCACCGTCACCTTCAGCGACAGACACACCATCAGCACCACCAGCCGCCGCCTCTCCATCCCCAGCAGACCCATTCAACCTTGGCGACCTCTGTCCTCCGCTGAGCTCCTTCCCACCAACAGAGGAGTCTGCCGACGTCGGGCTGGTCTCGTTGGCATTGGGCGTCCCGTTCTCCTGTAAACTCTCCTGAGACATTGCAAGACGAAACGACAATTCAAGCACTCAAACAATGAACAAAGATTCTCCCTCCACAGTTAACCGCCGTGTGGTGTGCTTACTTTGTTTACTTTTTGTTTGTTGTTTTTGAAAGGGGAAAAAACACAAAACGAAAAGATCAACAAACTTGGGGTTTTTTCTTCACGAACCGTTCAGCTTTCGCTGGTTTTTTATCGGAGCGAGAACCCTTTGCTGAATTCCGACTTCTCATTGGGACCCGGTTTTACGGGAAAAGGGCTGTGTTTCAATGTTTACGGGCTTGATGCCACTGCTTTTACCGGTGTGAGACTACAGTTGTCGGGGAGAAACTAAGGCATTGTGATGTTATTGACGGTCTAAACCGAAACCTCCTTCGTTGTTTGCTTGAGGCTGTTCTTCAAGTCCGTGGAGGAGTCGTTGTCGGAGACGCTGTCGCTGTTGGTGTCAAGTCCGTTGAGAGCGGCGTCCATCTCATCTTCAATGGATGGCTTGCCTTGTAACTTTCTCTCACGCTCTTCCAGATAGCACGCGAGTATATAGACGATACCGAATACCCAGGCCATTGCTAAGCACACTGGGTATCCAACAGACCACGTTGGAGCTGCTCTTTTGCCGTAACTTGCGGCTGTTGGGTACAGTCCCAGGGGCGCCCATGTATAGACGAAGTAGGAGAGCGTCATGATGGAGCCCATGACGATGGCCTTGTGCTCAGGGTCGTCCCTCAGCACTCTGTTGACCGCGTTATAGATCAAAGGAGACGGCAGCGCAAAGATCCCTGTTTGCCAGAAGGCGTAGAGAACGGTGGCTTGCGAGACGTTGTATTTGATCATGATGCCGGCAAAGATTGTCTGCACAACAACAGCAACCACGGCGAATTTCCAGGGAGCATAGACAGAGAACAGTGCGCTTGAGACGTATATGGTGACGACTGATACGGCACTGCTGACGGTTGGGTATCTGTTGATTTGAAGAACAGAGAAGTTTCCCTCTGCTTTCATCCAAAGTGATAGGTATATCGTTGGATACAACGACAATAGCGCTGCAGTGAAGGCAATGACGTAGAGGTACACTTTCCAATCAGTGTATGCTCTTTTGAATGCCTTCAAGGTCAGCTTGCTTGCCTTTTCAATCCCGTTTCTTTCGTTTCTCTCCAAGACGAGGTCGTACTCGTCCTGTGATAAGAACCATGGCTTGCCGACTTCTGGGTTACCAGGCCAAAAGAAGAACCCGATAACACCAACGACAATCGTGATGGAGGCGTCGATGATGAAGAGCCATTTCCAGCCAGATCTTCCATGGACTCCGTTGAGATTGGAGTAGGCAGCAGCTTGTAGGTAACCACTGAACATGGTGCCTAGGGATGAAGAGAGGAAGAACACACCGGAACGCATGTACAACTCAACAGGCGCACCTTTATAGGATTTGGTACCATAGTACTTACCAAGGGTATAATGGAATCCAGTGAAGAATGGAGCTTCGAAGACACCGACAAAGAATCTAATACAGTACAGCTGGCCAACGGTTTTGACCTCTGATTGACAGAACGTTAAGACTGCAAAGACAATCTCACAAGCTGGCAAGAAGAACCTGGTGTATTTAGAACTTGAAGTGGACAGTAGCAGCAAAGGCAGTTGAGCAGCGGTGTAGCCAGATAGATAGGTGATATTCAGCCAATTGAGCTCATTGCCGTATAGCTCCAAGTCTTCTTTCATACCAGAGACGTAAGCATTGTTGATGTTGATCTGATCAAGGTACTTACAAAAGAACGAGACACAGACATAGATCAAGAGCGTAACATCCAGCTTGAAGAGCAAGCGTTTCTCCTTTGACTCATATACACTTGGATACCAGTTGAACAACTGATAAAAGGCCTTTACAATCTTCTGAAAGTGCGTGAGCTTCTTGGTTGTCATTTTCGATGTAGGACTAAGCACCAAAGCACTTGTCTTATGATTCTACACGGAGCATGAGCATCCTTTTATACCTGGAGCTGCTACTACAGAACAAAGCCTACAATCTATTACTAATTGGAGTGTAAGGTATAGCTAGAAGATGAAGTTTAGGTGTGAGTAATGCAACCAAAAAAAAGTATTCATCAAATGTGCGTTTAATGTTGATGTCGGAAGCCACAGCTGTGAATCAAAACGCACAACGCCTTCACAATTCCCGCCAGTTGACGATGAGATGAAGCCACTACTTCCGCTTGATTCCCCCAAGAAGAAGGATGACTGTTGGTCTTGATCAACTGTGTAGATAATGGCACGAGTTGTGGCCATGGCTGAGATCCACAGGAATCCGAAGTTAGACGTTGAATTACCAAAGCTTGCGTTGAGGGCTTGAGACATATATAATATTGCAAAACAAGATCTAAATTAGCATGTAGTCTATAGCTTGAACTCTTCAGATATATGTTTAAAAACATGTTGAGGGATGATTTGATCGAATGCCTTATCACGCTCATTTACAATCATTCCTGATTCCCATGACGATCTCTTCCTTTGTAGCATCTGTCCGCCAAACTCAGTTAGCCCATAGATCAAATTCTCATTGCCAATGTAGTTCTTTGTGAGTTCATTGATGCTTATATTTGCCAAGTCGTAGAGGATCTGTGCGGTCAACCCCCACAGGTCTTTGATGCTTCTCTCAGTTTGCTCATGCTCGATCTCCTCATCGCTGCTCAAGTCTTGGATATTATCCAGCCAATGAATTTCATTTGGGTTCTCACTTGGATAGAAGTAGTGCTTAATTGGCCATCTCAGGTTCCCCCACTTGAAATGGTTTGTAGTCTTTCTAATGTATTCATGTTGAGCGTTTAGACCAATCAGGTCCAGTAGAGGAACTGAAAAGATGCTCGAGGTTTCACCGGGGTTCAGGATGAACTGGATGTCCGATATGGTCTCCTGAGGATGGTTGGTCTTGTGTAAGAAACAAACCACGGGCCGGACGCTGAGGAAAGTTCTCGATAGATAGCATGGCATCTCGTTCAGTTTCTCCAGAACAAACCCTCTCTTGTTCAGTTCCTCGTCGAACGGCAGCCCGATTTCCTCCATGGTTTCTCTCCTTGCAACGTCGTACCCACTCTCTTCAACATGGTCAGACTTGCCACCAGGTAACGAGACGTGTCCGGAGAAGTTATTCAGCTGCCTCGACCTCCTGGTCAACAGAACACGAACCTCTCCGTAGTTGCCAATGAAGAGCACAATCATCACCGCGGAGCGGCGTAAAGGAGGCCATATGGAATTCAGTGGATACACACGAGGACACACGTAGCTCCTAATGTTCGAGAGCAGCGCCTGGGAGTTCATCTCAGCGCCGAATGCTCACCCAAGGGTTCGTTGCCAGTACTAAGGTGAAGGATGAGTCTCAGGAAAGTGGATGACTAAGGTTGATCGAACAAAAACGGGACTCAAGGACAAAAAAGGAAGTCCAGTGTTCTGTGGGACTACTACAAGGGTCTAGCAATACAGTGCTGAAGATATTGCAATGATGGCCCCGTAAAGCCCCACCAGACGCAGTGTGGAGGACTCTACTCAGTGGCTACGACCGTCTAGACAGAACCTCATGCCTAAAACTCATTAGGATGTAGATATAGATATAGCTCTAGATATAGATATATGTTTAACTATGGAGAGAAAGGACTAGTCTCCTGGCCCTGGAACCGCGTTTCACCCGGCAAGCGGAGACAGCGCCCACGCGCGCTGCCCCGGACTGGTTGAAGCACAATTGTGCGTGCCAGGGAGATGACCGTGCCTTCTCAACAGGACACCGGGTACTGCTCCCTGTACCAGCGTACAGAGGTGCACGTAGCCAGCACACGACGATAAGCACAGTCGTTCTACTGCACAGAGCAACGGTCTCAGAAGAACGCGTAGTTTCACGAAATGGGCGTAGACAGAGCTCCCAAGTCCCGGAGTCCCCAGCCTCCATCGCACAAATGAGGTTGTTGCATATAGTGGTTGGGGCAACTCCCTGATAAGAGAACGTTCGCTACACCACACAACTGACCAGCCAATTGGCACTGGTGTGACCTGTGCCATAGCGTTGCAAAGCCCTGAGCACACCCTTGGACGTGGCATATGAGCCCACCACAAGTGCTTGTCTCCTCAGTGCAGCGTACAGGCCTGCGGGAGAAGCCCACTGGAGAAGTCCACTGGCAAAACACCAAGCTCTCTGATTGTCCTAGTCCCGTTCCTAGTCCCCATTCCTAGTCCTGGCCCCGCGGCTCGAGGGACTAGCAAAACCAGCGCAAAACGGGAGATAAGCGGGATTGTGTCTTGAAATTATAATCCCCTTTGTTCTCGGGGCGATTTTAGAACGTCAACAACAACAACAACAACAGCAACAACAGCAACGGATAACAGGGACTTTCCCATTGAGAAACTCACCAATACTCGAGCCATTCGCCACAGAGAGCAGGTCCTCAATAAGCAAATGTCACAGCTATCGCCAAAGACTTCGCCTGATTCGCTAGGCCCAACGTCCCCGTTCTCGACCTCGACCGAGAACGTGTCATCCTCCTCCGTGTCCCGCCAGGGCTCGACGACGACGTCGCCAGCCCTCATCACACAGGCCACGTATAAGAAGCCTACGCAGAAGCACGTCACCGAGCTCTCGACGTCCAGTGCGGAGGGTATTGCCGTGGCCAACCAGGTCACGCCGGAGAGGTTGGCACGGTTGCTGATGGTTACCGGGCCTCTCGCCATTCGTCACATCACGTCCAACCTAAGTAATCAGATCCTGGGCTTTGATAAGCTCTCGCTGTCAAAGCAGAGACGGTTGATCATGAGCTGTTTGAACCAAGGGTTTGAGTCTGAGTCCATCATCTTTGAGAAGATTGGCTGGGGACAGTGGAGAGCCAAGCAGGTTGCGCCCGAGAGCTTTGTGAAAGAGCGCAACGCTGTTAGAATTGCAAACGCCAAAGTCAAAGAGAACGACACTGGCGTGGCGGGTCCATCCATCTCAGCAGCAGCGAGTGCGAGAAGGGAATCCATCACTAAGAACAAGTACGAGTTGGACAGCCATAATAAGCTACTCAACACGCGTAAGAGAAGAGTTGGGCTACAGCAACATCACCAGCAGCAGCAACAGGGTTCTATGGATGACTACGCGATTGCGTCGGACGACGACGATGACGACCTCAGCGACTATCGCTCACACGACGACGACGATGAGAACGTCTTCAAATTTGACGATGACGAGATTCCACCTCTGAAGTTGAACCCAAGGTTGGTTTCACCACCAACGGGCCAACAGTCACGCAAGTCCTCTGTTTCAAGGGTGCAGAAACCGAAGTTCAAACCTCACAGATCAAATTCCCAGACACCAACTTCGCCAGAGCTCTTGTACTATCAGCCTTCTTCAACTACAAGTGTTATTAACGTTTCAGGACACCCAGGACATCGTAAGAGTGCCACGCTGAGAACAAGAAGACACAGCTCGATACGGTCAACGCTGTCGCAGAGTAACGGTCAAGGCGAGGAAGACGCCTTAGAGGACTCCGAAACAGATGAAGAGGATTGGGCAACCATTGGTGCTCTACAACTCTTGAAGCGTGAAAAGGGTAACATCCAATCACTGTTGAAACCTGAGGAACAAGACGCTGCATTTGCTCTCGTCAATTTGAGATCCGTATGACATATTCTCTTTATTATCAACTCCCTGTATAGTATAACTTTCAATGCATCAGTTATTCAACCAACGTAGCTGGTCAGATGTTTACAGCTTGCTCCGTGACACGATGTGGTGGAACTACTGTAGCACTACATGAAATAGTTAAAGACAAATTTACATCTCATTTAATGTAAAACCAATGAAGAATGCATCAAGCTTACTTCTTAGCAGCCTTTTGAGCAGCCTTGGTGACCTTACCAGCCTTGTCAGACTTCTCAACGGACTTGATGACACCGACAGCAACGGTTTGTCTCATGTCTCTAACAGCGAAACGACCCAATGGTGGGTACTCAGTGAAAGCCTCAACACACATTGGCTTGGTTGGGACAAACTTGACGATAGCAGCATCACCGGACTTGATGAACTTTGGGTTGGACTCAAGAGACTTACCGGAACGTCTGTCAATCTTCTCCAAGATCTCATCGAACTTACAAGCAATGTGAGCGGTGTGACAGTCCAAAACTGGAGAGTAACCAGCAGAGATTTGACCTGGGTGGTTCAAGACGATGACTTGAGCGTTGAAAGAGTCAGCACCCTTTGGTGGATCGTTCTTGGAGTCACCAGCAACGTTACCTCTTCTGATCTCCTTAACAGAGACGTTCTTAACGTTGAAACCAACGTTGTCACCTGGGACACCCTCAGCCAATTGCTCGTGGTGCATCTCGACGGACTTGACTTCAGTGGTGACACCGGATGGAGCAAAGGTAACAACCATACCTGGCTTGATGACACCGGTCTCGACTCTACCGACTGGCACAGTTCCGATACCACCAATCTTGTAGACATCTTGCAATGGCAATCTCAATGGCTTGTCAGTTGGTCTTGATGGTGGCTCAATGGCATCAATGGCCTCCAACAAGGTCTTACCCTTGACGACACCAGCCTTGGTCTCCTTCTCCCAACCCTTGTACCATGGACAGTTGGTGGAAGCCTCAATCATGTTGTCACCGTTCCAACCAGAGATTGGGACGAATGGAACAGTCTTTGGGTTGTAACCAACCTTCTTGATGAAGTTGGAGGTCTCCTTGACAATCTCAGTGAATCTGGACTCGTCCCACTTGACGGAGTCCATCTTGTTGATAGCAACAATCAATTGTCTGACACCCAAGGTGAAAGCCAACAAAGCGTGCTCTCTGGTTTGACCATCCTTGGAGATACCAGCCTCGAACTCACCAACACCACCAGCAATAATCAAGATAGCACAGTCAGCTTGGGAAGTACCAGTAATCATGTTCTTGATGAAATCTCTGTGACCTGGAGCATCAATAACGGTAACGTGGTACTTTGGAGTCTCGAACTTCCACAAAGCGATATCGATGGTGATACCTCTTTCTCTCTCAGCTTTAAGCTTGTCCAAAACCCAAGCGTACTTGAAAGAACCCTTACCAAGCTCGGCAGCCTCCTTCTCGAACTTCTCGATAGTTCTCTTGTCGATACCACCACACTTGTAAATCAAGTGACCGGTGGTGGTGGACTTACCAGAATCGACGTGACCAATGACGACAACGTTAACGTGAGCTTTTTCCTTACCCATTGTGATTTATTACTATCAAATTTATCTAACTTCTCAGAAGGAATGCAAAATGATTTCCGGTGTGAGCGACAGAGTGAAAGAAAGAAGGAAAAAAAATTTTTCATCTTCGCTCTTCTCACAGACAAACAGAGAAAATTGACCCTTTTTATACAAATCGGGCAATTGGGCGGCAAATTTGAGGAACACAAAAAAATTTTTTCGTCTGTTCTGAAAGTTACACGTGGCCGTTGGGACTTTGTGCTGGGGACGCATACTTGAAGCCGTACTGAGATTTACTCAGGCAGGGAGGGTAACACATATGCCAGGGCTGTGTAACCGAGATCACGTGATATACATGAAGCTGCGTACAATACCGATGGTTTAGATGGTTAATCAATGGTATTGGGTTTCCATTCTTTTTAGTTGCAAAGGATGTCTCCAGATCATGTAGACACATCAAGCCAAAGGTTTGTGGTATTGTCATGCCGTGTAGCGTATACCTTCTCTGTTTTGTTTGCCAAGTTGATGACTTCAACATTTCAAAAGAGAGTGGTGTAACCTTAAGCGTAGAACATCATTGTAGAGAGCATTTTATAGGTATGAAATGCCAGTGTCACTAGGAAGAGAGCATGGGAGATATAGCAATAAGGGATAAACTTTACGAGGTGTTGATCTAAGATTGTGCGCCATGATTATGGCACTTGGAGACATATACAAACGGACATGCATATGGACCCACAATTGGATCAAACATGACACCAATTGGGCTTTATGGCTCCAATGAGGATCAATGGCTCCTTTCCATGAAGGAGAGACGTGATATCCGAGGTGGAAGAACAGTAAGTGGATGGCTTACAATGGTTGGCAGTGGTAAACTGGCGGTGTACTAATGACCTCATTGAATGCGACACTCCAAAAGACATCGATCATATATCAAACGGAACAGGAGGTGGTCGACATTGGCAGCCTGAGTCCCTCTATTTCGTCACCAGTGAAACAGAAGTTACCACATAGAAAGGCTCAGAGGTATTCTATGACGTGGAATATTCACCTCCAAGTAGTCTCTGCAATAGCACAGCGCAAACAAATGTATTTGCAATGGTCAGAGCTCAAATGTATCCGAGCCAGTAAATCCAGCTACCCTACATAATTTGACGACCAAAGCGACAGAGGTATTAGAAGAGACCATCGGATCTTATACAGCACCATTAGACGTGATATTGGGACATGAGAAGCTCTCACCAGGCCCTCCATGTGTCGCAGACTCTGAAGGTCAATATAGCCATGCCCTCCATGTGTCGCAGACTCTGAAGGTCAATATAGCCATGCCCAAGGTAAACGATGGTCTACGTTGATATTAGGAAGCAAAAAAGCAAAGCAAATGTTAGATTCATGACTCACAGATCGTATGTAGCAAACTTGCGCAACTCTACCGGTATGGAGTCCCAATGGCCATTCTCAACCAACCAATTACGTGAAAACAACTTGGATTCGTACTTGTCTGCGCCATCAGCGACCGTGGTAACAACGTTGGAACCTTCAGGTAGAGTCAGCGCCAACTGCTTTGCAGCACAGAGGTTTAATCCACCAGACGCACCAATCCAGCAGTCCTGCTCGTTGATCAAGTTATAGATCATGAGGATCGCCTCCGTGTCTGTTATCGTCACTGCACCATCTGCAATCTTGAGGGCGTCACTCATCTGACCAGTCAAGTTATGCTTACCGATACCATCGACAAAAGACGGCTCAGCTTCACACTCCCACGACTGACCCTTTGAAGTGATGAACTGACACAACCCGGACCCGACTTTATCGGCAAACCAGCATTGTGCTTTACCTTTCGTCATATCTTTCAAATAAGAGGCGATGCCCATAAAGGTACCACCGGTTCCGGCAGAGGCGACGAACCCGTCAACTCTACCTTCCAGCTGGCTCCAGATCTCAGGACCCGTGGTCTCGTAGTGGGCCTGTCTGTTCTTCAAGTTGTTCATCTGATCAACAAACACACAGTTTGGCGTCTCCTCGGCGTAGATTCTAGCCGCCTCAACAAAGCAGTCTCTATGACCTGGCGGAGCAGCGGCAGGGCACTTCACCACGGTACAGCCCAAGCTCTCCATGAGCTCGACTTTATCCTGGATGAGCGAGTCTGGCACGAAGAGAACAACCTTGAAGCACGGCGTGTATAGACGGGCCAACAACCCCAAGGACACACCGCTGTTGCCTCCGGTGCTCTCAACCAAGGTACCGCCTGGGCTCACGGCGCCGCTGGCGACGACGTCGTCCAAGAGCTTCATCACGGCGCGGTCCTTGATGGACTGGCCTGGGTTCGTGTACTCAGCCTTGAAGAAGATGTTCCGCCCGGTCTCCCTAGAAAGGGACTCGTGCTTGATCAACGGGGTGTTACCGATGCGCGAGAGGAACTGCTCTCTGTTATAGTTTGGAAATTGCGGAATAGGCATCTGTCAGTGTGCTCAATATATACTGTTATCGCTGTAGATATACACTCTTTACACATATATTGGACATATGGAACACGAAGAAGGGATCAAGGCACTTATTTATACACGGAACAACAGCGTAAAAGCCCTCGCACAGAATACACCAACCCCCTCCGGGCGTGGTGCTTAGCAACACGTCATGAGTCATCAGGCCATAGATAAGCTACAAACTCCGTACCGTCGCAACAACACTCTCCCATAGTTAACATGGGCTCCCCGAGTCAGGAAAACAGAGCCTATGTGCCGTAGACTCTGTGTGTGTGCTCATGCTCTCCGTGTAGGGGCAGTCGAGTTGTTTCTTTTTTTGGCCGTGCTGCCCGCTCAGCTTGCCACTGATAACGAGAAATGGACACGTCATCACCTCATGTGGTTACCCCTTCCGTTGGGATTGTTTTGCTACAATGGTGGATCGCTTGTTAGTGAAAGATGGAAACATCAACAAAAATGTGTCAAACGATTAGGTTCGATGTGAATTGTAAACAGACAGGCACCGTGGTAACGTTGACACATAACTGTGCATCTTGGAGCTTGTGGTGTTTGTGGTTGGTTCAGCTATGGGGAGAGCCACGGTTGCGTGCGAGGTGTTGATGATTCGCAAGCTCACGTGAGTGTGTGCTGCGCGTACCATTTGTCCACGAACTTTACTGTAGTCGTTTCTTTTTTCACCTTTTGTCTTTTTTTGTGAAACAGAGACATTTCTACAGGTGGATGGGACATTTCTGTAGACAAATCAACACTTATGTAGGCGAATCAGACACTTGTGTAGACAAATCAACACTTCCATAGACAAATGAGACATTTCTGTAGACAAATCAACACTTCCATAGACAAATGAGACATTTCTATAGACAAATCAACACTTCCATAGACAAAGCACCCTATACAAAAATCAACACTCCTATACAGACAAATACGTAGCATACTTATGCAGCTCTTCAGGAATGGAATCCCAATGGCCCGCGGACTCTAACCACTTCCTGTTGAACAGCTTGGACGCATAGTTCTGTGGAAGGTCAGCTGCCGTTGTCACCACGGTGGAGCCTTCTGGTAGCCTCTTTGCCAGCACAGCAGCAGCAGCAATGTTGACACCGGCACTGGGTCCAACCCATATGCCCTGGTCGTTGTATAGCTTGTAGATCGTGACGATGGTTGTTGTGTCGTCAATGGTGATGGCGCTGTCGAGACGGTCCAGCAGCCCTTCCATCTGCGTGGTGAGGAACTTCTTGCCAATGCCCTCGACGAACGAGTCTCCTTCTGATTCCCATGAACGACCACCAGTCGTTACATACGACGTCAAGCCAGAGCCGTACCGGTCAGCTGCCCATATAACAATGTCCTCTTTCTGGGATTTCAGAAACTGCGAGACACCAGAGAGCGTGCCGCCGGTCCCTGCTGCTGCTACAAACCCATCCACGTTGCCTTGCAACTCGTTCCATATTTCAGGACCCGTGGTTTCGAAGTGGGCTCTCTTGTTGTTCACGTTGTGCGTCTGATCAACGTAGAACGCACCCTCGTGCTCATCTACATACCTCTGTGCAACGTTCAGGAAGAACTCAGGATGCTCCTGATCAACATCAACACGACACTTCACAACAGTGCACCCGAGAGACTCCAAAAGGTCAACCTTGTCCTGGATCAACACGTCCGGGACAAAGAGCCTCACCTTGTAAGGAGGATCAAAAGAGCGTGCCAACAGAGCCAATGAGATGCCAGTGTTGCCAGCAGTGGCTTCGACCAACGTGTCTCCAGACTGTAACCCCCTTGCGATGGCATCGCGCAACAGGTATACAGCGGCTCTGTCCTTGATGGACTGACCAGGGTTTGAAGACTCCAGCTTGAAGTAGATGTTCCTCCCGAGCTCATTGGAGAGCGCTTCGTACTTGATCAAGGGCGTGTTGCCCACCTTGGAAATGAACTCCTCTGAGGAGTACGTGGCGTATGTCACTGTCATCTGGTCCAGTTCTCGTGGTCACCTGACACAACCTTGGTGTGTCAATAGTGAGTTGTGGTGGAGTTGTGGTGGAGTTGGTGATGGGGACAGCGACATTTTATAGGCGTACTGGTGGAGGTGCGGTAGCCGAATTTGGCTGGCCGGGGCATACGTGAGCGCCTCCAGGGATTACATCACAGTTCACAGTTCACAGTGCACAATTGCCTCGCCATTGTGATGAAATCCGTGTGTTTAGCCGGGCATTGACCAATTGGAACACACCGCTGGCCAATACGTCATCAGTTATCCAGCTTCCCGCCTAATAAGATCGACTGTGCATTCCCATGACACACGCACTGTGGCGTGGAGGTGGGAGAGTTGATGTGTATATAAGGCTGTTGAAGCATGTGGCAATTGGAAGCTTAGAGACCTTGTGGTTGTAATCACCGTATACAGACGCTGTTCCATGGTTGCCACGGTGTCTCCAACTATCCAATTGTCCTCTGGTGATAGGCTCATCACCGTAGCTGGCGGGTAAGTTGTTCTACATGTCGATGACCTCCAAGGCCTTGCTTTGACTAACCATGTGATACTTCAAAACAGGTGCTTCTGGGGGCTGGACCAGTTATACAGCAAGCAGTACCTGGGCCACGGGTTGACTGATGCAAAGGTTGGGTATGCCAATGGACAGACAGACATTGAAAACCCTTCTTATGAAAGAGTCTGCGAAGGTGATACCAACTGTGAGTAAAAGAGCCATTGGACGTTAATCGTCGTTAGCTAACACACCAGGAATGAATAACAGACGCAGAGGTGCTACAAATCGCTTATGATCCAGAGAAGCTCTCCTTGAACGAACTCGTGTCCTTCTTCTACCGAATTCACGATCCAACAACAGTCAATGCACAGGGGAAGAGGAACAGAGGAACTCAGTACCGTTCAGCCATCTTCTACCACAACCCTTCAGACCTCGATACCATCAGATCTGTCACTGTGGAGTTTGAAAAGAAGTGGGGAGCACCAATAGTCACACAGATTGAACAGATTGAGAGCTTCTACGATGCTGAAGAGTATCACCAGCAGTACTTGACGAAGAACGTAGATGGATACCACTGTGATACCCACTTCATTAGGGACTTTGACTGATCAAGGAATACATAGCATGTGGTAACTTATCGTGAGGTTCAAAGACGCCCAAACTATTGTTGTAGAAGCCTCTCAGCGATCCAGATGAGTATACTCTTTTGCCTCAACAGCAGAAGGCTGCCACACTGGATGGTGAGGTTACTGAGTAAGCGGTGAACCAACTCAGAAGATACCACACAACAGCATCTGTGTGTAATCCTCTCCAAGAAGGTCCTCATACTTACTATCTAGGATCTATATACGATATACAACACACATTTCACTCCACCACGTACAATCTCATCTTTCCCATTTGTTCGAATGAAGTCTTCCTCAAAAGTGTTCCAGCACGCAATCATGAGGCAGAGATCTGAGAGCAGCATAGATATTCACACAAGAAGCAGAGGAGAAT